ATAGCTATCAACATAGTCTCATGTAACTCAAACATTTGTATTGAAAGATTTTTTTTAGTTATTTAATATTCTAATCTTACAAAGATGTTTTCATTAGCTGTGTGTGCAAAATTCTTATAATGAATTTATTTTTGTATGTAGTTGAAAACATCATTTTTTGTGTTTTAACTTATAGCGTGTTTCACTTAGCAAATTGATGTACTGGAAAAACACTACTTTCAATTAATATATTAATTTATCTAGCATCACGTTATTAAAAGAACAGATTAATAGGAGATCAGAAATTAATAGCGGAACTGAAAGTCTTCTTAGTTTCTTCCGTGGAGCTACAGTGAAACACGCGAGAAAGGAAAACAGAGCAGGTAGCAGCGTTAGCTTTCCTTCTGCTAGAATGCATTTTGAATACAGGTTTGGTGTTTTGGGTAAAATATTTGACTGTTTGCAGTTAAAATGTATTCAGTTCAGTCCCACAGAGAATTAATCAGCGAGCAGTGAACTGCAGAAACATTGACAGAGTTTAAAGAAATCATCGTCCAGTCGGAGGAAGAGATGGATGATTAGCGCAGACTGCTTGATTTCTCCCGGACTCCCCAGATCATCTTATACCGAATAGGTAGGAAACAGCAGCGTTTGGATGCAGGTTAAGGTCTAAATGTCTGCACCTTTCTGCATGAGGATCATTTTAGTAAACGCTCTTTTCCCGGATAAATGTTTTGTTAGCAGGTAAATGAACGCAGACATCACAATGAGAATGGCTGATTTATGGAGAGAAAATGGAGTTTCTCACAATCTGAGCTTTGTGCTGCGTCAGTGTTTCGTTGTGTAGAGGAAGTAGTGTCAGTAGTCAGTTAAAACGTTGTAGCTCTGGAAGAAGGGACTTTGTAACGGCAGCCCCAAAACAAATACACACATCATGTGCAAATAAAGTTGCCGAAACTGAAGAAGAGTCTGTTTCGTGAGTGCAACACTATTTGTGTGTTTGGTTTCCATCCATCCGTTTTCTAACTCGCTTATCGCGAGAGTTGCTGATGCATTTCCAGCAGTTGCATATTTAGGTTTATATTGTACATATTTCATACTTTAATTGCACTTTTCCAACTGGATTTTCTTTCATTGTACATGTGTAAATCCAAATTAATTCAAAGTCTTTCTATCTTGTTATTAGAGGATGATCAGGGTCTCTGCTCCAACTCTTTATTTCTAGTCCACTCTGTTTCAAACTGCTTTTCAGCTTTATGGAAGAGGAGAATACAGCGGAAACGCGATAAAACCATCAGAAAAGGTTTGTTTTGGTATGTGGCAATATACTTTCAGCAAATGGACCCACAGTTCTTCCTGTCTAACTTAGAAAAGCAAATAATAAAGGAACAAAATTTAAACAACTATTAACCTACAAATATACATTTAACTTTTATTCAAAGTAATAAAAAAAATATATTGAAATAATACAGTTTACTATTAAATACTAACAATAATCCCTACAACATTTAATTTTGTAATAAATAAAATTAATTTTTTAATCAGTTCATTTGAGAATTCTCCAAATGTCAGCTGGATTTGTCGACTGATGTGTATCTCTGTCTACGCTGTTGAATTTTCAATGTTATTTTGTTCATTTCTGTCTTAAACTGAACAATTTCTCCTATTTACTTCAGTAAAGTTAACAATTTCTCTCTTCTCTGTTTCCTTGTCCAGATTCCCTGAAGTGTAACGTTTATAACCAGGAGAGGAGATCCACTCTGGACCAGGAGGAGTTAGAACCTCTGCAGGTGAAACAAGAACAGGAAGAGCCAGAAGATCATCAGATAAAAGAAGAACAGAAGGATCTAGAACACCTGCAGATAAAAGTGGAAGAGAAAGAAGTTTACTGCAGTCAGGGTGAAGAACTGATTGAATTAAAACAGGAGACTGATACCTGCATGGTGGTTCCTGTTGATGAGCAAACATACCAAACTGAATCAGAACCAAACAGGAACCAAGACATCTTAGAAAAGCCTGATAAAACTGAGAACCAAATTCAGGACAGAAGAAAATCTTTCTCATGCGTCATCTGTAAAAAGCGTTTGACTTTCAAATCTGTTTTTGATTCTCACATGAGAACTCATATGGGTGAAAAGAGGTTCACATGTGTGACCTGGAAAAAGTTTTTGTCGAAAACAGGTTTTAACTACAGTTAGGGCCAGAAATATTTGGACAGTGACACAGGTTTTGTTATTTTAGCTGTTGACAAAAATATGTTCAGAAATACAATTTATATATAATATGGGCTGAAAGTGCACACTCCCAGCTGCAATATGAGTTTCCACATCCAAATCGGAGAAAGGGTCTGTAATGCAGAGCCTCCTCTTTTTCAAGGGACCAAAAGTAATTGGACAATGCACTCTAAAGGCTGCAAGTAACTCAAAAGGCCTTTCCCTCGTTAACCTGTAATCAAGTAAGTAGTTAAAAGGTCTGGGGTTGTTTCCAGGTGTGTGGTTTTGCATTTGGAAGCTGTTGCTGTGACCAGACAACATGCGGTCAAAGGAGCTCTCAATTGAGGTGAAGCAGAACATCCTGAGGCTGAAAAAAAGAAAAGATCCATCAGAGAGATAGCAGACATGCTTGGAGTAGCAAAATCAACAGTCGGGTACATTCTGAGGAAAAAGGAATTGACTGGTGAGCTTGGGAACTCAAAAAGGCCTGGGCGTCCACGGAAGACAACAGTGGTGGATGATCGCCGCATACTTTCTTTGGTGAAGAAGAACCCGTTCACAACATCAACTGAGGTCCAGAACACTCTCAGAGAAGTAGGTGTATCTGTCTCTAAGTCAACAGTAAAGAGAAGACTCCATGAAAGCAATACAAAGGGTTCACATGTAGATGCAAACCATTCATCAATTCCAAAAATAGACAGGCCAGAGTTAAATTTGCCCAAAAACACCTCAAGAAGCCAGCACAGTTCTGGAAAAGTATTCTATGGACAGATGAGACAAAGATCAACCTGTACCAGAATGATGGGAAGAAAAAAGTTTGGAGAAGAAAGGGAACGGCACATGATCCAAGGCACACCACATCCTCTGTAAAACATGGTGGAGGCAACGTGATGGCATGGGCATGCATGGCTTTCAATGGCACTGGGTCACTTGTGTTTATTGATGACATAACAGCAGACAAGAGTAGCCGGATGAATTCTGAAGTGTACCAGGATATACTGTCAGCCCACATTCAGCCAAATGCTGCAAAGTTGATCGGACGGCGCTTCACAGTACAGATGGATAATGACCCCAAGCATACAGCCAAAGCTACCCAGGAGTTCATGAGAGCAAAAAGGTGGAATATTCTGCAATGGCCAAGTCAATCACCAGATCTTAACCCAATTGAGCATGCATTTCACTTGCTCAAATCCAGACTTCAGACGGAAAGACCCACTAACAAGCAAGACCTGAAGGCTGCGGCTGTAAAGGCCTGGCAAAGCATTAAGAAGGAGGAAACCCAGCGTTTGGTGATGTCCATGGGTTCCAGACTTAAGGCAGTGATTGCCTCCAAAGGATTCGCAACAAAATATTGAGAAAAAACTTTTTTGTTTGGGTTATGTTTATATGTCCAATTACTTTTGAGCTCCTAAAATGTGGAGTGTTTGTAAACAAATGTGTACAATTCCTACATTTTCTATCAGATATTTTTGTTCAACCCTTTAAATTAAACGTTACAATCTGCACTTGAATTCTGTTGTAGAGGTTTCATTTCAAATCCAATGCGGTGGCATGCAGAGCCCAACTCACAAAAATTGTGTTACTGTCCAAATATTTCTGGCCCTAACTGTACACATTTTCATGTGGGAATTATGGAAAATGTTTTCGTTACAAGGTTAGTTTAACTCAGCACATGATGAGTCACACTGGTGAAAAGTTGTAGAAGTGTTGTCCATACATGTCCTATGTTAAGGTTCACTATAGAATTGATTTTGTTAAAAACTAGAATGAAAGACTGGAGGGGTTTCATGTCTATAAAGATGAAAATTGTTGTTAAAAGTCATCTTTTGAATACTTGGAGATGAGCAACCATCAAAAAACGATAAATTGCATGTTATTGTATTAACATACTGTTTTTGTCAAACCGTATGTTGTGTGTGTTCAACATGAAGAGCTCAGGGCTCTTCATGTTGCTATCTTGTTATTAGAGGATGATCAGGGTCTCTGCTCCAACTCTTTATTTCTAACGGGTCGATTTGTCCAATTTTAGATATTTTTTCCATGTAGCGTTTTTTTTTTGGGGCTTCTGGGAGAAGCTTTTCACAATATAGCCCACTTTGTTTCAAACTGCTTTTCAGCATTATAGCTTGTCCAGATTCCCTGAAGTGTAATGTTTATAACCAGGAGAGGAGATCCACTCTGGACCAGGAGGAGTTAGAACCTCTGCAGGTGAAACAAGAACAGGAAGAGCCAGAAGATCATCAGATAAAAGAAGAACAGGAGGATCTAGAACACCTGCAGATAAAAGTGGAAGAGAAAGAAGTTTACTGCAGTCAGGGTGAAGAACTGATTGAATTAAAACAGGAGACTGATACCTGCATGGTGGTTCCTGTTGATGAGCAAACATACCAAACTGAATCAGAACCAAACAGAAACCAAGACATCTTAAAAAAGCCTGATGAAACTGAGAACCAACATCAGGACAGAAGAAAACCTTTGTCAGGTGTCATCTGTAAAAAACAATTGACTGCCAAATATGCTGTCAGTGATCATATCAGAATTCATGAGGGTGAAAAGCCGTTTTCATGTGTGAACTGTGGAAAAAGTTTTAGTCAGAAAACAAATTTAACTAAGCACATGATGATTCACACTGGTGAAAAGCTGTAGAAGTATTTTCCGTACATGTCCTATGTTGAGGTTCACTATAGAATTGATTTTGTTAAAAACTAGAATGAAAGACTGGTGGGGTTTAATGTCTATAAAGCTGAAAATTGTTGTATGTGTTAAATGTGATCATATGGACGTTGTGCAACCATCAAAAAAAAATTATGATAAACTTTATGTTATTGTATTAACATGCTGTGTCAAACTGTATGTTGTGTTTGTACAACGTGAAGAGCAAAAGCTCAGCTCAGAGCCCTGAGGAGAGCCAGTACTGATGCTGATAGATGAAGAGACATTGTGGTCCATTGTGACTAATTTCATGCATTAACAGAGTTTGACTGGACATGGACTCCCTTCCAGAACTTTCTCACAAGATTGGACTTGAGGGATTGATTTGTATTATTCTATTCTGTATAGAGAAAGTGTGAGGGATGGATGTTGTTTACCTTAATACACTTATCAAAACTACAATGTGATTTTATTCACTGATTTTACATTTTCGCTGATGTACAATGAAAAATACATTTTAAAACTTTGTAAAATCATACATTTATTTTTCTTGATTTTATAAAGTACAGTTGATTATTATTCTCTTCAATAATTTAGTGTTTCTTTTGTCTTAGTTGTATTTTTCTCTTTTCTGCTGCAGCTTATTCTATTACTAGGAAAAGATTTTAGGTTCTGCAAAGAGAACTGGCACTTTATGAGAAATCTGTAGCTGTAATGATCGTTGGATCCACAAGGTGGCGGTAATGGGATGACATGAATGAACGACAATCATAAAACTCCAAAGAAGAAGAAGCAGAACATAATGGCGCCAGGTCTGTTTTGTTGAATGTTTGAGTGTTTCTCTATTAAATATCTCCAGTCCAGCTTAAACCAGTGAATCAGCGAGCAGTGAACTGCAGAAACATTGACAGAGTTTAAAGAAATCATCGTCCAGTCGGAGGAAGAGATGGATGATCAGCGCAGACTGCTTGTTTTCTCCCGGACTCCCCAGATCATCTTACACCGGATAGATAGGAAACAGCAGCGTTTTACTGATGATACAGGTTAGAGAGAGCTGCTTTGGGACCGACGCTGAACTCGGCATCGTTTTTAAAGGGCTGTTATACCAAATTACATGACTGGAATGATAAAGACGCTCCAGCTGAAGATATAAAATACTTAAACTCTTCAACCGTGACCTGAACTGTGTCAAAATTACACAAATGTATTCTAGTAGAAATTTAAAAAAACGCGTCCACATTTTATCTTGAGTCAAAGTGAGTACTTGCTTTTAAAAATGTTTAAAGTATTAAGAGTAAACGTATTTAGCCCATTAATCATTAATCTGTAGTGATTAATGAACTCAACACACAGGATGAGGACTTGACTTTAAATGAAGAAAAGCTTGAATCTGTGGAAATAAAGCAGGAGCAAAAAGAGCTAGAACATCTACTGATAAAATGTGAGCAAGAGGAACTGGAACATCTACAGATAACACTGGAACGAGAAGATTCAGAACATCTAAAGATAAAACGGGAACGAGAAGATTCAGAACATCTAAAGATAAAACGGAACGAGAAGATTCAGAACATCTACAGATAAAACGAGAACGACAACATCAGCAGTTTAAAGACAAGAGGATCAACTCTGCATCAATCAGTCTGAAGAGCAGTTTGTGATGAAACACGAGACTGGAGATATTTTGGTGACTCCTCTTAATGTGCAAATAATCAACAATGAAACAGAATCCAACAGGAACCAATTCTTCTCTCATGGTTCTCCTGAAGTTGAGAACCAAGAAGGAAGCAAATCTGAAGACCCAGAAGAAAAGAGAGAGAAAGAACAGAAACAAAACAATAGATGTCAGAAAACCAAAGGACAGAAAGGGACTTCTGAGGGTTTAAAACAAAATACCCACAAGAAAACTCACAGGGACCTAAATTTATATTCCAGTAAAATTTGTGAAAACAGTCACTTGACAATACATCTGAGGATTCATACTGGCGAGAAGCCTTTTACATGTACTGCATGTGGAAAATGTTTCACTCGAAAAGGTCATTTAGGTACTCACATGAAAAGTCACACAGGTGAGAAGCCATTCCCAGGTTTAAAGTGCAGAAAGAGTTTTAGGGAAAGAAGGGATTTAACTTGTCACATGAGAATTCATACAGGGGAAAGGCCATTCTCATGTAAGAGTTGTGAAAAAAAGTTAATTTATAAAACTAATTTAACAACTCACATGAAAACTCACACAGAAGAGAAGCCTTTCACATGTGTGACCTGCCAAAAAGTTTCAGAAGCAGGTTTTATTTAACTTCCCATATGAGAAGTCACACAGGAGAGAAGCCTTATACATGTATTATTTGTGGAAATAGTTTCACTCAGAAAAGTCAATTAGCTACTCACATGAAAGGTCACACAGGTGAAAAACCTTTTACATGCATGACTTGTGGAAAGAGTTTTAGTGAAAGAAAAATTTTAACTTCTCATATGAGAACGCACACAGGCGAGAAACCTTTCTCATGTGGAAACTGGAAAAAGTTTCTCTACAAAAGATGGTTTAACTTCTCGTATTAGGATTCATACAGGTGAGAAGCCTTTCTCGTGTGTGACTTGTGGAAAAAGTTTCACTCAAAAAGGTCATTTAACTACTCACATGAAAGGTCACACAGGTGAAAAGCCTTTCATATGTATGACTTGTGGAATGCGCTTTAGTGAAAGAAGGAGTTTAACTTCTCACATGAGAAGTCACACAGGCGAGAAGCCTTTCGTATGTGGGACTTGTGGAAAAAGTTTGATAAGTTAAATCTGTTTTAACTTATCACCTCAGGACTCATACTGGTGAGAAACCTTTCTCATGTGGGATCTGTGGAAAAGGTTTGTCTACCAAAGATAGTTTAACTTCTCACATGAGAAGTCATACAGGTGAGAAACCTTTTCTTTTGTGAGACCTGTGGAAAGAGTTTCACCAATAAAAAGTTTACTTGTTCACATGAGGAATCACACAGGTGATATGTTTGAAAGTGAACAAGTAACTTACACTTTAATGCTGTATATACAGTGGAATTAAAAAAGAGTTGTAATTAAAATACTTAAAATTATGCAAATTTCACATTTTATAAGAGATTTCTGATTTTGGAAGGATGACTGAGATATTTTCAGTTTTTTGTTGAAATATCTTTACTGACATACTTGTTAAAGCTAAACAAAATTGTTATTCTAACTATGTCTTTTTCATCAGTTACACAGCTTGAGAAGGTTTTTAGTTTTTAGGATGTTTGAAAGTATTTTGATATAAATTCAATTTCTGTTACGAAAGTGACTGTCAGTGAAACCATGTAATAAAGTCAGTTTACCATGATAGTGGTCTTCTTTTTGTATTTTAGCTGTAAATTGTTTATGTATGTGTGTGTATATATGTATACACACACACACACACATATATTTACTCATCTACTCATATATATATATATATATATATATATATATATATATATATATATATATATATATATATATATATATATATATATTTTCTTGGTCTTTTTGGTCTTTTATCTGTAGATGTTGAAGTTCTGCTTGCTCCTGTTTCATCTGCAGATGTTCCGGTTCTGATTCCTCCTGGATTGCAGTGCTGTTCCTCTCCTGGTCATAGAAATGTTGGTCAGTTAAAAACTCATCTACTGTAGATATAGAAAATTTGGGAAGCTCTGATAATGAAAAAATAAATAAATAAATAAATTCTCTGTAATTATTACAATTATAGAACTATGGCTGTAACTAATGACTATCATTAATCTATCAATAATCCATTAATGTTTTTAGCAAAATTTATTTTCAAGCATCTCTGATTTTTGTGCATTTTCTGCACATAGTATTGACAGACCAATTAATTGGAGTACAAATTAATTTGCTCAGTAATTGGTACTCCAATTAACAGTGGTCACTGACAAAAAAATGATCTAAAACTGATAAATGTAATAAATAAAAAATGCTGCTAAAAATTAACACTTAAAAATATTATTTTTGAATTGTGATTCAACAAAATCTAAAACAGGTTTGGACAAAAATGATGGTTCACTGCAGAAACAAAATCTTACGAAGTATTTTTGTCTAGTTTCGTGTTCAGATATCTTAGTACACTTGAAAAATATGAAACTAACTTAAAATAACTGCAGCAAAATATAGGAACTTGTTTTAGGTCAATATTTGAAAGTAAAAAAACATACATATTGTCAGAATAAAGGCTGACAATAGCAGTCTAGTGCAGTTTCCCGAGCCTGGTCCTTAACGCTCTTTACATGGACACATTAATTTGCTGCTTGTGTTACACAAGTTTATGCTTTTTTGTGCCATTTTATTTATAAGTCTATTGTGAAATAATATTTAATCTGTTACTCATATGTCCCTGCAGAGAAAATTAAATGATAATTTGTTGCTTAAGAATTTTTCTGTGCTATTTTCACATTTCAAATATGGTTGTGGTTAAAAGCTTAACCACAACCATAGAGTTTTAACAATCTGGAGAAATAAATTAGCTGACTCTTTTATATCTCAATTAATCACAAATCGGATTGTCATTTAAAACTTTAAACATTCATGACAAAACTAAAACTTAGTTTTAAATTTAAAACTTGTTTTAAAAAAACTCCAGAGACAACAATGATGCTGCATCAACCAGGTTTTATTACTTTTCTATTCATAACACTGAACACGAAGGGAAACACATTAAAATGTCAGATATGCTTTTATGTATTTAAACTTCAATGGTCCCTAATAGCGACCAGGATTTCATGTTTATTATGAGGAAAAACTGACAACCAGTCCATTTGTTCTGTAAAACCTAGACAATTTTTTATTCCAAGACATTTTTAAATCAGACATTTAAATTATTTGATCAACACATTCTTCAATGAAAACAATCTGCACATAAAAAAATACACTGGAAAAACATCACAAGTCAGACTTGCTTTGAAGTCAATGAAGATCCATGCAGAGGAAGACAAAAAGATCAAACATCAGCACTGTTTGGTTCGCCGATTGAACCTCCCTTTAAACTGGGAAGTCAAATTTGGCAGAAAGACATTACATTAGTGTAATTAATATTTTAGTGCGATTCTTTTTTTTCCACCAGAAAAATTTAGTTAAGCTGTGATCACTTATTAATCACTCCAGATTCTGATTAATTGAGTCTCAAAAGCATCTTTATGCTTCAGTTTTACGCCTTCTCTCCAGTGTGGATTCTGGTGTGACGAGTTAATTTCGATCTTTGCCGGAAGGTTTTTCCACAGAACATGCAGGAGAACGGCTTCTCACCCGTGTGAACCCGCATGTGATACGTCAAACTGCTTTTCTGGGTGAAGCTTTTTCCACAGGTCAGACATGAGAAGGGCTTCTCAGCTGTGTGAATTCTTGAATGAATGAGTAAAATACTTTTGAAACTGAAGCTTTTTCCACAGGTGATGCACGAGAAGGGCTTCTCACCGGTGTGACCCTTCATGTGATACGCTAAGTTACCTTTCTGACTGAAGGATTTTCCACAGGTGACGCAGGAAAACGGCTTCTCACCTGTGTGAATTCTCATGTGTCTCGTTAAGTGACTGTTTTGAGGGAAAATTTTGCCACAAATTTTACAGGAGTACAGATTCTTGAATGTATGAGTTTTCAGGAAGTTGTTTTGTTTTGGTTCTTCGTCTTTTCTGGATCCAGGGTCTTCAAGATCCTTTTTCTGGTTATGTTTAGAAGCAGATTTTTCCTTATTGCAAAGAGTCATTGTTGAAGTATCAATCTCCTGCTTCAACATAAGACTCTCTTGATCCTCACTGATGTAGAGTTCCTCCTCTTCCTCTTTTATCTCCAGATGTACCAGCTCCACCTGCTCCTCTTGATCCTCTTGGTCCCGTTTCATCAGAAGAGGTTCTGGTTCCTCCTCGTCTAAACTGGTTTTCTTCTCCTGGGTAGAGGGCTGCTGGTTGTCTTTACTGCCATAATATTGAGGCAGTTCTGGATGAGAAAAAAGAAGAAAAGATTAGAAATGTGAGAGAAAGAAAGCCCAGTTCGCTTTAAAGGGAACCTGTAATGCAAGATTCACATTTTTCACATTTCTGTTCTTCCATTTGGGTCTCAACTACTTCTAGAAACAGTTTAAACTGTTTTGGCAATAGGATAATATTGTTTGATGTCTGGTGTCCCAATTGTTAAGTCCCATTAGAGGGCACTGCCCCGTTACCTAGTAACCCCAGGCAACCCAAGTTGAGATCCTGGACGTTTAGTCAGCGGTTAAACCACTGTATGTACTGTACAATTTCTGCTGGACAAGTATTTGTTGTTGATTTATCATTCAGAAAGCACTTGCTGCATTCTTGTTGGTTGTGCATGAGGCTCTACTTCTGCTTGTCTAAGATGTACGGTTGTATAATTGTGCATCTGTTTGCAAACATTTTCACATGCAAGTGTATATGTTGAGCTTGGGGACATGGCCAGCAGAAGCTTATTTGTATTTAGTGACAAAAGGCACTAAAACAGTTCATTCTTAAAGGAGCTCAAAATGGGCAGAACTGACTAGACTAAAATATTTTTATTCAAGAATAATTTTGTGCAAAAAAATAACATGTTTAGAGTAGTAGGTCACTAAAAGCTCATTGGGCCAAATATACTAAACAGTTTCCTATTTCTCCACTAGATGTCACTGAAACCGAGCTTAGAGTGAGTTAACACATTCTTGATACAATAAAAATATTTGATTGATTCACCTCCTATATATGAGTCAGAATAGAAGTAAATAGTAATAAATGAAGTTTCATTATCATAATGCAGACAGAACTAGTCTACTTGCAAAAAGACTACTTTTACTACTCTGCACAAACACAAAAGTAAACTCTTTTTCATTATCTTACCAATTTTTTCATAATTGTATATTGCATCTTAATGTGTATATTTTAATTTATTATAAGTCTATTTTTTATTGTTGTCAATTTTTTGTGTATTCATTTGTTAACTGAATTTTAGCCAAAAGGTTGTATCTTAAACTGAAGACGGTGTAACTTTGTCTAAATAATCGATACTAGAGGAAAAATTTATAAATTTTTGTGTTTGAAATGGTTTAACAAAAACGACTTTGAAATCAATAACAGAAAAATTTACTTTCCAAGGACGCTTGCATCAATTATAACGGTACCCTTGCCACTCTCAATATGGCGGACGCGATGACGTTTCGTGTCTACTGGACAACGAAGCCAATGTGGCGTCTGGCTCGTTTGTGGGCTTCGCCGTATTTTCTGGGAATGGGGGCTGGCTTGACCGCGGCGAATGGGCCCGAAGTCGCATTTACCTGGTTAAATGAAGCTGTAGAAATGTCGACTTTAAACTAAACCCATCATATGAGCTCAAATCTTCCCAACAGCACAAATAAATTAGCGCCGCTGAGTTTTTTTCCACATCTGTCGGTGTGAAGTCCAGCAGTCTGAGCTTACCATCGACCTCCTCTTCGGACTTGACGATGATTTCTTTGAACTCAGGAAATGTTTCTTCGGCGGGAGTTTCATGCTCCTTTCTTAGCGCTCTCTGAGGCTGAGCTGAATACATTTTTACTGCAGACAGTGAAATGCTCTGCCGAAAAGCACAGATGGAGTCTCCTGTCAGTCTCAGAAGCAAAGCTAACGCTGTCAGGCTCTGTTTGGATCTGCCGTGCTTCTCCCTATGACGCTCAGGGAGAAACTGTGATCTAACTTTAGTTCCGCTTAAATTTGAACTTGAAAATAACAACTGGAAATTGATTAAATATAGCTAAATGTTTTTGTAAAATTGTTAAGTGCAATATCACAGTTTTAGGTTAGCCTATTATCACAAACAGCCTGTTTGTTTCAGCTCTGATGAGGAATTTTTGGATTTCTGTAAAAAAAATTTTTTTACACTTTTGACAAACATTTTTTGAAAATCTAAAATCAGGAAGTGTCTGATACTAAAAACTTTGAATCTAATAAAAGTAAATGGTGCTTCTAATATTAGTCACTGTGCCTTGTGTGTGTTTACACTAACAAAGATAGACACTTTCTGCACAATGGGCACCATACAGTCTTTCTTATCTTTTTATGATGTGAATTTTGACCATTTGATCTGAGAATGGGTCACTTTTATGGATGCCAGAAGATACCTGGATTTCCCACAGGATTAGTCAAGGACCATTTTATCATTCAAGTATCTTGAAAGAGTTGCTGCTGATAGCGATGCTGTGGGCAGGAAAGATCTCTGGTAGCAATCAGTCTTGCAAGGCCTCTGACTGAAGGCTTTAACTTGCTAACAGCTCAATATTCAGGCAGCAGAGACGACATTCTAAAGTAACGTGTCCTTCATAACACAGTTGTTGGAGAACAGTTTCTAACCCACCAGGTTTGCTTTTGCAGCTCCTATTTACAGCACTTCCTTTGAGCTTTTAAGATGCTAATCAGCTGTTTGCAGTTGTCAAAACAACACCATGTTGCCACGGTTACATGGCAACATTTGAAGGCAATTTAACTAAAACATTAAATTTAAATCAGCAAGACAATTGTTTTGGTTTTAACTCAGAAATCAGAGTTTATGAAGTTGATTTTACAACAAGAGAAACGTTGTCTATTTGAATTGTGAGTTTTAACTTAATGCTGCAATCAAGTTAAAATAAATACTTATTTTTACTTTAGGAGGATTTAAATTTTTGTGTCAAATTCCATGAACAAAATTTCTGACCTGAAAAGTAATTTTATTAAACATAACAATAAATTCTGCCCAGAAACATTTAGTGTGAACAGGACAATAAAGTAAACATTAATAAAACACAAGAGTCAGATCAATGTTTTAACATGCCACTAAGCATTCTGGGAAATATTGCCCACTCCTGTCTTTTTCTTCTTTCAGTGAACCTAAAAACTTTAGTTAAGTTCTTGGAGGTTTGACAAAATTAATAAAAAGTTAACACACCTAACTCCTGTAAGTTTATCTTTAACAAACTCACATTTAGGTTCAAAATCTAAAACTGGCTAAATTTATTTAACTTAAAAAGTAGAAGATAGTAAATACAACTAAATGAGACTGAAATGTTTTGAAGTGGGCAAAGCATCCAAATGCACAGAGAATAATAATCTAAGCACTGAAGCTTTTTTTTTTTGTCAATGTACATTTATTGAACTTTACACAGAGAATAAACACTAAAAACAGCACTTGGGGCAAAAACATGAAACCCCCCCCCCCAGCGGGTTATACAGTGACTATCCAAAAAACAAATAACACCTAATGCAGAGGGCGCCATGATCAGTCAGAGTAGATCTGATTCTTTCATTTAAAAAAAACCCAACATGACAGATGCATCTGTGGAATCGTCACTTTTCTAGTTCAAGAGAATGAACCGATGTGCTAGAAGGGGGGAGCAGGACATGCAGTTAAATGGCAGCTTTGTGAGAGAAATATTGTTTTTTGATGCACCAAAGAGAGAAATGGGTGAACAGTGACTCTAAAAACTCCTGAATAAGCTGAAAAAATTGAAGACCAGAATTCTGTTAGAATGGGACACGATGAAAAAGTGGCAGAGTGTGTAAGGTTTACTCCATCACAAATGGTGTTTATGTGGGAGAAGATTTCTGACAGTATGGAGCCTTTCTACCATCTTAAATTTAATAAATACACATAAATGGAGGCAGATTGGATTCACTGAGGTGTTGTTCTTCAGCTATGTTTGTATACGTGTCTTTCTCCTAATGGTCTCTTATTACTGACAACGAGGAATCCTGCACTGCAAATACTGTAAAGCTGCATTTATGCATTTATGGCCGGTGAGATTTAATTTTATCTCGTCCGACCAAAGGGCGTGCTTCCAGTCAGCAGAGTATTTCTCCAGGCTGTTGTTGGCGTTCTTCAGTCTGGCATGACTTCCCTGCAGAAATTGAGTGTTTCTTTAGTAATGGTCGTCTAGCCTGGTTTGGGTTTAAAAATTTAGTAAAGGAGGCGGTTGAAAGGAGAGATGGATGGATTATTCGCTCAGATTAATATCACTTGGGAAAGTTTCTAAAAAAAAAGTTACGTTCACAATTGGAACATTGTTATTTTGATCAAACTGTTAAAGACTGTTTGCAAAATCAAATCTATGAAATGTTTTTTTTAATCCATCTTCAATGAGGCCTAGATTTTATGAAAGGAAAGAAAAAGGTTGTCACTGTAATAAAAAAAAGGCCAACATTGACTACATCTAAGTTAATGAATTGTGATTCATATACTTTCATTCATACAACTCTAACAGAACTGCTGTGGAGATGGAAAATAACAATCTAGCTCTTACAGTGATGTTTTTTCCTTTTTGTTAGACTTTCCTCTCTACGGGTACAAAAGTCCTCTGGACTGAAGTATTTTTATAACTGCATGCTACTTATGTTGAAATTGTGACTTACTGTAAAGTATTTTTCATTCTTTGTTATGGTTTTTATGTTTTTATATTCAATTGTTCTGTGAGCCTGTGAATTTGTAGACGTTGGACAGAAATGTCCCCATTGTGGGACAGTAAAGAATATTTCTATTCTTAGATTCTAACTAAATTTTAATGTGGGACCAAAATAAAAAAGGTTCGAGTTGATGATTTCCTTTAGTAAGAGCATTTAATCAACATAGACGGGACTTTAGAAAGCCTGCCAATCCACTACTAGCAGAACTAATTTCTAGCACGTTTAGGATTGTAAAGGTTTAGGTGGCAATAAATGAGGTTTACAGACAAATACAAGACTTTCATGAACAACCAGAAGTGTTAAATCCATACATGCAAACATTCACATTTATTAACTGTCTTAGAGTCTTTTCATTGGTTCTCATCCTGTTCTCCACCTGTGATGCAGCAGCAGCAAATTAAGTTTTTCTGTACCCACAATGCAATACTGTTCCACAGCAACAGTTTAAAATCTTCTTGATGTGCTGTGTGCTTTCTGACCAGTTAACTAGGTAAAATCAGCATTAGCGTTAGCAATACTCAACAACTATAAAACTGAAATTATGAGGGGGAATGTCTGTTCTAAGTGCCACCGTACAGGTTGACGTGTAGCGACACATTTCACCAATATAGGGCGACATACTCCATGTCATGACATTAACACATGGTGGGTATCAACATGATTGAATTTAGTATTTTAGCATTAGCTTTGACTAAATACAGTGTTGGTCTAGTGCTTTAGTGTTAGCAGAAATGTTTATGATAAGTGCTACAGTGTTAGCACAGCTAACTTTTAAGTTAGCTGTGTCACTCACCTCTGTTCTACAAATAACATGCTATCCAACGTTAAATAATCACACTTAAAACAATAAAACCTTAATAGAAAGTAAAGTACATAGTGGGTATATTTTCTATAAATATACATATATTTCTTTTTAAATGTTTAAAAGGTAAAATAACAGGTTATAAATATAAGATTTGTTATATTATTTACTTTTGAATTAACTGAAAGTTTTACTCTTTTTTTTAACTTGCAAGATCAATTATTTTCACAAGTGCCCAAGAAGTGCAGCTTAATAAACTACAGACTATGTGATTTCTCAGGTTAAACATTTTCTCGTGTGTGAGTCCCCATGTGAAACTTCAAACTATGCCTGCCACTGAAACACTTTCCACAGGTCTGACAGGAGAAAGGTTTCTCCCCTGTGTGGGTTCTCATGTGATCTGTCAGGTGGCTGCGCCGCGAGAAGTACTTCCCACACACTTCGCATGGATAGGGTTTCTCTCCTGAATGCGTTCTCATGTGAACAGTCAGTAGGCTACTCCGAGAGAAGGACTTACCGCATAGCCCACATGGATACGGCTTCTCACCTGTGTGAATCCTCATGTGGACATTTAAGGCACTGTTATGGGTGAAATGTTTCCCGCAGGTGAGACACGGGAATGTCTCGCCTGTGTGAGTGATCATGTGGACGTTTAGGTGGCAGCTCCGGGAGAAGCGTTTCCCGCACACCCCGCAGGGATACGGCTTTTCACCCGTGTGGGTTCTCATGTGGACGGTTAAGGCGCTGCTTTGAGTGAAGCTTTTCCCACATGACAGACATGGGTAAGGCTTCTCACCCGTGTGTATTCTCATGTGAGCAGTCAGGCTGATCTGCCTGGTAAAACCTTTCCCACAGGTCACACACGAGAAAGGTTTCTCACCAGTGTGTGTTCTCATGTGACGAGTTAAATCCCCGCTGTCGTTGAAACCTTTACCGCACACTTCGCATGGATAAGGTCGCTCGCCTGTGTGAGCTCTCATGTGACGGGTCAGGTTACATCTCTGAGTGAACGTTTTTCCACAGGTCAGACACGTGAACGCCTTCTCACCTGTGTGAGTTCTCATGTGATCATTTAAGTAACTACTGAGTGTGAAATATTTATCACAAACGTCACAGGAATACAGGTTCTCGTTCCGGCTTGAGTCGGAGTCTTCAGGATTGCTTCCTTCATGGTTTTGGTTCTCAGCTTCTGGAGAGTACTGGGAGTCGGGTCCATTCATGATTGGTTCTGGCTCAATACAGTCTCTTTCCTCAAAGGAATTAGCCTCCAGCTTCAGTGGAACCTTCTCCTCATCCTGACCAATGCACATTTCCATCTCTTCCACTTTCACCTGCAAGATTTCCAGTTCCTCTGGTTCTGGTTTCATGTGTTGATTCTTTCGCTCCACATGGTTCTGCGATCTGTGCAGGGCCTCTTGTTTCACCTTGTGTTCCTTTTTGACCTGCACAACTTGTAGTTCCACCTGTTCTTCCTTAATCTCTTGATGTTGTAGTGCCATCTGGTTCTCAGTTACATTCAGAAGTTCCTGCTTCTTCTTGCCGTCTGTCATCTGCAGCGGTTTCAGTTCATCTCTTTCTTCTTTAATCTGAACAATTTCTTGTTTCTCCTGGTTCACATTAGAGCTCCCATCCTGATGATCTGTGAAATTCTGCCGCAGACGATCTGGACAGGCAAACAAACAAAGGAACAATGTTACAGAAAGCTGTGTGATCTACAGATTACAAATGTGAATTTTACATTTTCGATTTAATTACTATCCATACAGTTGATTCATATTTTAATCTATTGACTGAAGATTTTTTAAGGATTATTTTAAAAAAATACATCTAAAAAAACCTAAAAATTTGACTGCAACATTTTGAAAAAGATGCCACAAAATCAGTAATTTTAGGCAGCGACAAACACAAAAAACATACTGGAGGGACGGATTATTACAAGGAAAGCAGCTGCAGAATACAACTCCTCCATCTTGATCACAGGTGTCAAACTGAAGGCCCATGGGCCAAATCCGGCCCGCCATAAGTATTTATGTGGCCCTCCAAACTCTAAAAAAATCACATAAATTGAACATTAAGATAAAAGTTTTGTGCTTAGGTAGTATTTTGTATAGAACCAAATTATTAATGTGAAAAGATATTCAAAAATTGTCACATTTTAAGAAATCCTAATTGATCACAGAAAGAACTTTAATGTTTTCACTGCAAAACATAAAATCTTGCTCAGTGAAATAAGACAAACTTAACTTAAAAGTAACTTTTCAGCAAGATATACTGGCTGGCTTTAAGTAAATAATTTCTTAGTATAGATAAAAAAGTATTTGTTCCATTGGCAGATTAATTAACCTGTAACAGGGAGAAAATATTTTTAAATAATCAGCCAGTGGAACTAATACTCTGCTGACTTAAAGCAAGCTCATATTTCCTGCTAAAATGTTATTTGTAAATTATTTTTGCATTATTTCAAGTGTACTAAGATTTTCATTATAAACTAAACTAAAAACACCTGGAAAGAGTTTGTGTTTTTGCACTGTTAGAGCTTTATTAATGGGTATCTTTTATTATTGCAGTCTGCCACAACCGAAATTCATAATGTTAATGTGACTTGAAATAAAATGTTTAACATTCCTTATCTAGATTAATAAAATAGAGGTAATCATTTCTACAATGACAAGCTCATCAGGAAGGACAGCTGTGTGCTTGACCCAGTGCAGGGGGAGACAGGAGGATTCTGGCTAAAATAACATCACTAATCGCATCTTTAATGTAGTTCGAATTAGTTTTCCATCTATAATCTTCAAATCTCTGTTTCATTCATTCGATAGTGGCTGCTGCCTGCGACCAGGAGGTTACGCAATAGCTCAGGTCAGACACAATCACAGCCTGGATATAAACATTAGCAGCAAGAAACAACAGCACCATATATATGCATTTAGTGCTTCTTTCCATCAGCTGTTAGAGTCTAACCATTTCTGCTTTCAACAAACTCAATAAGTATTTACATCTTTTTTTTAATTACCATTTATTTTATTCTGTTTTAATACCCGGAAGAGGTGGGTAAAGTACCCAAACATTGTACTCAAGTAAAGAGTAGTTTCCAAACAGTGAAGGGTTTCTCTATTTCTGTTCTATTCTGTCTGCTGACTTTCACTCCACTATTTATAATAATCTATAAATAAACACAACAACCTGCAAAGCGCGTTTAAAACAGTTTTATCTAATCTGTTAACGCAGAAGGTGTCCAACCTGCTCCGTTTCGGGTTGTTTGGGATCTTCTGTTCAGATCCAGCAGCCTGTCACCTGAATCCATGTCTTCTTCTTCGGTCGCTTTTTGTTAAATCTTTAAGAGGCCGAACTGAATATATTGTTGTTGTAAACATTCACATCGCCGTCATTCTACGGCTGAAATGGTTTAATTCTGCTCACAGACGGGAATCCGATCTATTTCGCTGCTATCAATGACCCGTTGTCTCATTGTGGCGCTCCGGGGGAAAACTGGAACCCGACTTTTCGTTCCGCTTCCAGTTTATCTTAACAGGGGAAGTAAAAGCAGTCTCTGAATTTAATTATTGTTGCATACGTCATTCGCAAAATCCTTGTGAACGTTGTCTGGAAGAAATAAGCAATAATAATCAATATTTTTTTAATCATAAACTGTAATTAAGATCGACAGCAAAACCTCTAACAATAAATTAATGCATACATATCCACACAAGTACTTGTTTTAAAAGCATTGCTTCATAAAGTTTTAGTGCATGAACAATTCAGTAAAATATGACATATTTGGTATGTATACTTAATATAGCGTTTCAAATATCAGATTAATAAGAAAAAATGACTTTTTACAATATATATTTTTACAAATATACTTTCTTGTCCATTTTTCTTACACATTTGTTAGTTATCTGCATTTAGTTATATTTAGTTTGAAAACAAATACTACTTTTCTCTAAGTAATAATCTACATATCACTCAGAAATAATTCAATCATCTGAAAAGAGTGAGTAGAGTTTAGTAAACTCATTTTACTCAATCTTGAGAACATTTTAATAAAAAGTTATTTTATGTATTTATTTGACCAGGTAATTATTATTATTAGTTTTTTTTTTATCATTAATTTCTTCGTCAAGCAATAGTAATTCCAGAATCTGGGATTTTTGGAGAACTTTTGACATGGACTTCGTCATACATTACACAAAATTTATATTCACCTAGTGAGAACTAGCATGATAAAAGTAATGACTCTAATTAGGTCTAAAACCTATTCTATTTTTTTTTATCTCTTTTGAAAATTTAACAAGGAACACGTTCTTTTTTTAAGTACATTTTGACACAATGAACTGAGCAGAAAAGAGAAAATTCTGAATATATACAAGAATAATCATACAAAACTACATAGTGTGATGAAAATAAAGCAGCAAATATAAAAAATACAAAAGGAATTTTAAATCTTAACTTAAGATATTAACATATCTGTATAAAATAATTTTTGTTGTAACTTTTAAACACTTCCTTAAATAAAATCTTTAAAATGTTTAAAATTTGTGTGATGTTCAAGAAGCAATATTTATGAATAAAATGAATTTTCTATAATAATGAAATTATTACCATAATTTGACTCTTTATCCCTTGTTAGAACACCAATTTTTTTAATTAAAACTTAATAATGGAATAAATAGATTTATTTTTCAATATCTGTTTCAGTATTTTGAGCTTTTCTGCTCAGTTCCTGCATCTGACCAGAGGAGGGCGCCAGAAATAAACCATTCCTCGACTTCCGTCGCGTAACCTCTGAACCCGGAAGTTTCCCACGTGGTTCAATGGAGGCGAGCAGAGGAAACGTGCAGAAAGCCGAACAGAGAGCCGGGATGAAGAAAACAGAGAAAACGAACAAAAAGAGGAGTAAACAGGACGACGAGGAAGAGGAGGAAGATGAGGTGAGACTCCCAGTGACAGGCAGCAGGAGGAAGAGCAAGCGAACTGGGTGAAGTGGTCAGGAACTGGTGGCTAGCTGCTAGCATGCTAACACACAGAAAGCGAAGCAAAACAGTTGAGGGATTGTTTGAGGTTGAAGAAAAGGAGTCAGTTTCCTGTTCTGATTTTGTCAGATTGGAGTCTTGGACCTTGACCTTTAACCTTTACCCTTACAGAGTTTATTAAAGTTATACAGGGACGCTACTGTAAGAGACGACAGCCCACATTTATTCCCCCAACATCAGATAAGACGGTTTTGCACAAGTTACAGATAAAATACACAATATTTCTAATAAAACATAATAAAAAATTACCCGAACTTTATACAATATTATTAATTTGAGCTACATGTACAGTACCCAGAAGTTGCCCTTCAGTAAGAGTTTAAAAAATGTATTTTGGATAATCCACTTGAATACTGAGTAACCGACTGCAACAGGTTGAAACCTCAAGAGGACAAAACAAAGCATGTTATCATCTTGCTTTCTCTCGCTCTTCTGCAGCCTGAAGGAACCACAGACATTATTTAAATGTTTAATAACAAGTCTCTCACCTCTGGCTTCATTTTTAGCACATCATTGATACTAAATGTTACTAACTTTAATTCCTTCCTTCATTAATAACTTTGTAGTAAATATGGTGCTTTCAGTGATCTGAAAAAAGTTGGATTTTAGGGTTTCTTGGTGATTTTTTTTAAACATGTCCGACCCTTTAAGATGTTGACATTTCCTCTTAGAGTTTGGTGTTGAATGTCTGTTTGCTCCTCAGCTCTTCAATTTGAACAGCAAATCCTTGGAAGAAGATGATGAAGATTTATCAGACAGCGAGGAGAGCGTCTACTCAGGACTGCAGGATTCTGGGAGTGACTCTGACGAAGAGGAAGAGGAGGAAGAAGAGGGAGGATCAGATGATGAGGATGAACAGGACCAGAATGAAAAAGTACAAAGTTCTTTGGCAGATAAATTAACTTATGGGAAAAATGTCTTTTTAGTAAATCTAGTACAGTTTCATCAATGATAAGGACTTATTTAGTTTAAACAAACCTCTATAACTTACTGAAAAGTTACTATTTACTCTAGAAATTAGACAATTACTTGTTAATATTGTGTATTTTTGCTGTGTATGAAACAAATGATGTTTTCAATATTAGATGCAATTAAAAAACAGTTTTTAGTTGTTTATTTATTGAATAATTACATAACAAAGTGTATTTTTTATAACCATTTTGTTACTACACTGGAAAATATTGATTGAAAAGTTTTATTTATTTTAAAATAATAATAATGTGTTAGTTATTTACCATTATATGACTAGAAAATGGCCTGAAAAGACTATATCACATTAGCAGCTCTAAATGAGTCTTAGTCAGTAGGACTAAGGGGAAATTTTGCTGTTTAGATTGTAAAATTTTCAGACCCCTGATGAACATGATTTCTGACTGGCTGGCAGAGACTCACCTGTTCTGCTCACCTGATGATCTGCTGTGATACTTTTCAGTCGACTGTGAAGAAGGAAGCAGCAGATGAAGAAAAGGAAGTGAAGAAGGAAGACGAATACGACCATGACACGTCAGACGAGGAGGTGGGACGAGTTTTTGAAAATCAGACGCTCTGTGTTCTCGAGAGTTTCCGTTTTCATGATCTACCAGATACTCTCAAGTTAATTAAACTTTCTTTAATAACAAGATTAGCACAAACATAATGAAGCAGTTTTATTGCTTATAAATTAATTTTTTTATTCTTATGAAAATTAGGGACGAAATGATTAATCAGCTTCATTGTGATTAATTGACTATTGAATTAATTGTTGACTAATTTAGTAATCAAGTAATCGCTAACTGGTGCATACAGGTTCAAATTGGAAAATTTTCTGACTTGCTACAAATCATCAAGCATTCGTTAAAGCAGTGGTGGGCAACTCCAGGCCTCGAGGTCTCCTGCAACTTTCAGATGCATCTCTTCTTTAACACACCGCAGTCAAATAATGAGCAGAACTCTGGAGAACCTGACTGTTTCACCTGAGGTGATTCTGCTGTTGGACTCAAGTGTTGGACCAAGGAGACGTCTAAGAGTTGCAGGACACCGGACCTGGAGGACCAGGATTGTCCAGCCCTGCTCTGAAGGAATGCCACACTGTTGCACTCTGAAATGCCTTGCTGCTGAAATGTGATATACAAATAAAATTGGATTTGATTTGCATTTTGGACAATAAAATGTTTATTTTATTTAACAAGTGAATTTGATGACTCTATTTGCATCTTTAAATATACTTATAATATTTTGTAAAATTGCATAAATGGTTAAAAGAGAAATGCGCAGAAGGGGCCAAATTTTTAAATTGGCCCCTTGATTAAATTGTCTGTAGTTTATTACTAAAATAATTGTTAGTTCCAGCCCTAAAAAAACCCCTATCTAAATAGGGGACACATTTCTGTGACACACACATAAAATTTTTTGTTGTGAAGATGTCACAGCTGCAGAAAAGGTTAGGTTTGAAGTTCCTTCCTGCGCCTCGTCATCATTTAATCCAGGATTCGTACAGGTGCTTGAAATCCTTTAAAGTCCTTGAATTTCAGTCGTGTGTTTTTAATGTTTGGGAAATGTTTGATGTTCAAGTTTTTATGTGTGTAATTTAAATAAAGGTTAGATTATTTTTTTATACATTAAAGTTATTTATGGTGTCACATAATTATGAATTGAAATTGTCTTTAATGTATTTGGTTTTTTTATTTCCAAAGTGTAGTGCTGGAAATTTTTGAAAACTCACCTTGAAAATGCATGAAACATGCTTGAATTTTACTGTGTCCTAACGCTGTGACTCGACCTGCAGGACATCAGGAACACGGTGGGAAACATCCCCATGGAGTGGTACAAAGACTTCCCTCACGTCGGCTACGATTTAGACGGGAAGAAAATCTTCAAGCCGATCAGGAACAAGGACGAGCTTGATGACTTCCTGGAGAAAATGGAGAATCCCGACTACTGGTAGGAACAGGAAGGATGAAAACTGTCTGTTTTCCTCGTAGTTTCAGACAGGAAGTCATGATGATGTTATGATGTTTTCTAAACAGGAAAACGGTTCACGACAAGAAGACGGCAAGCGACATCGTGCTGTCGGACGAGCAGATCGAGTTGGTGAACCGTCTGCAGAAAGGCCAGTTTGGAGACGTTAACTTCAACGAGTATGAGGTATTTATGTTTGTCTACTTCAAACTGACATTTTAAAAATAAATAAAACCAAAACCAGTAGGACAAGAGGAAACATGCGCAAACACAAAAATAACAAAAATAATTAACTTACCTAAACTTCTCTGTTTGTAAAGGAGGAAGAAGTGAGTTTAACTCAGTTCAATGAAATGTATCACTTACTGAGACTATTTCTGTAACTGATACAGAAATAGAGAAACAATACCTTCGTTTTGTCGTTCATGAAGATTCATAAAGTGAAAGCAAC